ACACACACACACACATATATATATATATATATATATATATATATATATATATATATATATATATATATATATATATATATATATATATATATATATATATATATATCCGGTAGACTACTTAATCCGTGGATCTCTTGGGTAATCATAATTGCCAGCAACACATCAAAACGTAAACGATAAAGACAAAACCTGATGCCACTCCAATGGCGAATGGCAACCCCATGAAAGCAATGTTATCTTCATCGACATCACCTTCCTTCTGATACGTTGCCTTCACAGGTTCGCAGAAAGGCAATGAATCACTGTAGAGACCTGGATTTCCTTCGAAGCTAGAACAGGGGAAGGTCAAGAACTGACCCCCTATTGGAATTAGTCCTTGTAAGTGATTGAAAGCTACACTGAAAAAGGAAAGAAAAGAAAGCCCGGTGAGGGAGGATGGAATGCTCCCTGACAGATTGTTGAAAGACAAATCCAACCTCTCCAAATTGACCATGCTTGACAGTTCTTCTGGAATGGAACCTGACAAGTTGTTCCAACTTAGATCCAGCAAATGAAGACCCCTCAGATTTCCAAACTCCTTCCAAATTGATCCATTCAATCTGTTATAACTCAAATTCACTGCTGGTGGAAAGTCTGTATAATGTTTATACTTCAGTGGCTCAAGAATCTGTTGATTGCTGCTCCATCCAAAGAACGGGAATTCAATGGAAGAATCATCGCCATCCTGCGGAGGAATCTCTGACATAAGGCTCTTTAGCTCTGCCAAGGAAGCAGGGATCTCCCCGTAGAACGAGTTATTTGCCAAGTCCAACAAAAAGAGATGATCAAACCTTCCAAACCATGACGGTATTTCTCCGGTCAAACGGTTCCATGGTAAACCCAGAACTCTCAACTCTTCGCAATTCCTCAGCCATGAGGGGATACGACCAGTCAAAGCACAATAACCGATGTTCATGGCACGCAATCTTTGGAATCCTCGGATTCCGGTCGTCGGCATTTCCTCACCTTGGAAGTTCCAGGCAAGAGCAAGAACCCTCAGGTTATGGCAGTCCTGAAGAACTCCTAAAGCCTGCGAGATATTGGAGAGGCTATTGACATTCAGATTCAAGAAGGAGAGGGACCGAAGTCTGCAGAGCTTATCTGGGACCTGTCCGCTAAGGTTGTTTCGAGACAGATTCAAGATCTTCAATGCCTTGCAAGAAGAGAGAGCCTCGGGAATGAGCCCCTGCAACCTATTCCATCCGAGGTTGAGGGTGTCAAGACGATCGAGTCGTCGAAAGTCGAGGTCGATGCGACCGCCAAGCGAATTGTTCCATAAATCAAGCACGGTAAGCATCGAGCAGGAGGACAGCGAAGTTGGCAGTCGGCCGACAAATCTATTAGATTTGGCGGAGAGGACCTCGAGCTTTCGCAGGTCGTGAAACACATCGGGAATGTTCCCGGTAAATCCGTTGCTGGAGACAACCAAACGGGACAGGTTCGAGAGGTTGCCTATACCCGGTGGCAGCTCTCCCGACAAGTGGTTGCTGCTGAGGTCGAGCACCTCCAAGAGCTTCAAGCGGAGCAGCTCCGGCGGGATGGAGCCTCGGAAGGAGTTGCTTGAGAGGTTGAGGAAGGTCAGCTTGTCCAAACCAGCCAGGGATGGTGAGAGGACGCCTTCGAGGCCCTTCCCCGACAAATCGAGACCGGCGACTCTTACGGCGCTAAGCGAGAACAGAGCACAGCGGACACCGGGCCAACCGCAGCAGCGGGTGGAGTTAGCAGCAGGCCAGTCGCGGATTCCTCTGTCGAGGCTGCGTGCGAAAGCATAGAGTGCTCTGAGATCACTAGGGCTACAGCTCTGATCATGGACGTTCGTTGCGCCAGTCTCCAAGTAGAAGAGGAACAGTAACAGTAAGAGGATACAATTACAAGGATACGTCGCAGAAGCCCTCATGTTTGGTTGCTCGTGCCTTCGGGGTTTGCGCTGAGAGATGGGGAAGTCTGCGCTATACACCACCAATCGCTGAGGGAGGTTTAGAAGATAAAACGCAAACTGTCATTTCTTGGAGACTAGTCTGAGTAACGAATGCTGATGATGAAGTCGGGAGAGCGTGTTAGTTACGTTTTGAATTTGTCCAACACAATTAATTTGTCCACCCATGTATATATATATATATACATATATATATATATACATACATATATATATATATACATACATATATATATATATACATACATATATATATATACATACATATATATATATATGTATGTATGTATGTATGTATATATATATACAATAAATTATTAATTTATCATTTCTCTTCTTGTTGTGACTAAGAGTACTTTCTGACCAAAATAACAACTAAAAATGGCAAAAGTACAATGCACAAAACCGATTTGATCTAGCAAATATCATAAGTTTATAATTTATAATTTTCTTAAAATTTAATAAATAATCTAAATGGACAAATCAGTTTTATTCAATTGAATATCTCAAAATTGAGTTGTCTATATTAGACCCAATAGTTAAATCAATTAAAATAATCAAAATTAGGTTCAATCAAAAATCTAATTTAGAAATAGGTTGATTAAAAATTAGGCTAAGATCGGGCTATAAGTAAATTTTGATTAATACAAGTCAAATAGGTCAATTTTATAATTGAGAATATTAAAAAATATTTAATTTCTCAAGAGTGAAACTATAATTTTATTAGAACATATATTGAAAATATATAATTTCTGAATTGTCCACAAACCTTGAAATTAAAAAAATTAGAAGAAGAAAATAATTTTTTAATGTGTGTGAAAACTCTAATCCATTTTTGTTCTTTCTCAAGTGTCAGCTTATGTGTGGGATACGGTTGCGACGGTGCAAGGTTGTCCATCGCTTGTACGCCTCTTGCTCGGACTCCTTTCGTAATCCATTGATGGCCCATAAGACTATCGTAACATTCTATCGTGCCCATACATGATTATTCTCACACGTGAGGCTATCATCGTCACAAGTTCTTATTAGTTGCGCATGTGTCTGTAGTTGACCAGCGACCCATATAGTTGCTGCGTAGCCATTGGGTGACCCTAGCCTCCAATGTCCCATTGATGTCAGTCATGGATATAAGAAAATTGAAGGGCGACATCATATGCACAGTAAAAAAATAGAAAATAAAAACTTCAAATTTTTTAATGATGTGTTCATCGTCATACGAAGATTCGTACGTAAAAATATGTGAAATTTAAAACCATATATGAGATAGTATTTTACCTAGGGAGATCGTATATTCTTAGAACCCTACAGATCTATAGGAGTGGATGAAGGATGTTATGTTAGGATCAAGAGCACTAAGAGGGGGGGGGGGTATGTGTGAATTAGTATAACGGAAAACTTTCGACGATTTAAAACGACGTTCGTACGATAAAAACGATTTCAATATAAAAGTCGATTCAGAAATTACTTTAACTTAAGATCAAGCGAAGTGCAGTTAAAGTAAAGCTATGGAGGTAGTTTGCAGTTAAGATAGATAACAGAATGTAAATGAAAACTAAGATTTAGAGTGGTTCGGTCAATCTTGACTTATATCCACTTTTGGCTTCCTCCTCTAATGAGGTTATCGACGTCCATTAGAGGCATTCCTTCAATAGGTGAAGGTCAACCACCTTTTTACAGTTTCACTCCTTTTAACGGGCTTAAGAGATAACCCTTGCAAATTTTTTACTCCTCTCTTGAATGATCAAAACTCGGAAGAAAAGAGGGAAAAGAACTTTTGACCTTTAGAACACTTTTGAGCTCTAAAAATCATAGAGTAAGATTAAGATTTCAGTGCTCTTTCATGCATGAAAGGGTGAGGTATATATAGGCCCTAAACAAGTTTGAATTTGAAGCTCAAATCTGTCATCTCTCGGATTTTCGGGGTTTGGCGGTACCACCGCCATTACTGGCAGAGCTTGGAGACCAAGCTCAGGTGGTACCACCGCCTGACAGGGGCGGTACCATCGCTCAGCCTTGCTCGAAGACTGAGCTCCTGAGCGGTGCCACCGCTTGACAGGGGCGGTTCCACCGCTTAGCCTCACTCGGAGACTGAACCCAGGTGGTACCATCGCCCAGCTTTCCTAGGAGACTGAGCTCTTAGGCGGTGCCACCGTCAGCCAGGAAATCTGGGTCCGAATGGGCTGATCCATTCAGCCCAATTTGGGTCTATCAAGGGCCCAATTGCCCCAAGATTAAGTTAATGGGATCACCTCCCATTTCTAACTTAATCATCATGATAACTATGATATTTTTAAGACATTTACTGCAACTTGCTCTGGTGCGTCAATCGCTTCTTCCGGCAAGCTTCCGACGAACTTCCGGCGAACATCCGACGAACCCTCGGCGATGCTCCGATGGATTTCCTGCAAACTCCTGGACTTCTTCGATTTGTTCCTGCAGAACCTCCGATGATCGTTCGGACTTCCGTCGAACTCTTGAACCCCAACGTGATCATAGTCTTGACTCTGGCGTAACTCCTGCTACATGTCTTACTTTCATTATAGTTAATCCTACACACTTATCTCAACATATGGATTAGACAACAAATGACAATTGACTTCATTATCAAAATCCGAGATTCAATAGGTTAAATGCCCTCTTCTCTAGCGGTGATCCATATAGTAGGGCTATGACGATGCTCCTTGAATCGTTGCCCAAATCTTCACACTTGCTGTCTAAGGAGGAGAATGGGAGAGGAGAATAGGAGATGAAAACCAAGAAAACTCTAGCTTATAAGTCTTTGATTTCCTCCTATTTATAGAGGTTCATTGTCAACTTAACCCTAATAAATTCTGCCCTATTAGGTATTGGATCTTCATCTAACTATCCAAGCCTCTTATATTAGTAGATCTCTATCAAATAATCTCTTATTGGCTCTTATTACATCTCATCCATAGGATCCAATAATTTAGGGGAATATTGGATATCCAATAAGATATGGGCTCCAGCGGATATCTTATATCTGAACCTCTACTTGTCGCAAAACTTATCATATACTTGTGACCCTTTAGACCCAATAGCGAGCTGGTCGTGAGTCATATATGCTAGAACTCTTTCTGGTTTAGTGAATTATTAACTCCATAATAATTCACTCGACTTATCGATTGCGGATGTACTGAGCCACTATGTTGCAATCCTTAGACGATACAATGAAATCCAATCCTTTGGACCTATTTATCCTCAATTACTATGTACCTATAATTCCTTATCATTCTAATACCCTAGAGATCGTATACTGGGCATATTACTGTGAGACTCATACAGTTTCTACTTGAGTCTCGCTATAATTGGATTCTCCCGAAGAACTCTTTCTCTCTTAATCCGAATGACCATAGCCAGAGATTTATCTGAGCAAGAATACATGAGATATTTCTCTCATGAATGATCTTCTATGAACACTCAATAGCTCTTGTAAAGTTGGTTGCCACTATCGATGACTAATTGTGCTAGATCTGAAACTTTTAGACATATAAGTATAGTATCAAAGAGTGAATTATTTATACAATACATCCATGGTATCTTAAGTCTAAGGACTAGATATATCACTAGAACTATGAAATCATTGTCTGACAATAAGGTATCATTAATCATCTAGCATTCCGTGAGCAGATCAATCATTGAACTCATTCTCTAACGAGTACCTGCACTGTATCTCTAGTGTCCCCACATGAGTAGTTATGAGACCAACCGTCTCTGTATGGGTATACAGTACACAAGTCTGTTCGATTATCTCGATGTCCCTCTCGAGTAACCTATAAATAGGATTATTTATGGTATCTGTTTAAAGGTGAATCGGTCTCGTTATTGTGATCTCATCATGATATGATTCTCATTGTACAATTCTATTGACATTATATATATATACATATATACATACATATATATATTTATATATATACATACATATATATATATATAATAATAATAATAATAATAAAATATTAAATAATATAATAAATAAAAAATATGTATTATGTCATACGTGTCATCACTCACTAACATGCGTACCACTTATATAACCAGCGGTCGATAGCAAATAACGTCGCAACAGCATTTCAACAATCGCTCGTCAAAGGTAGCAACACCCGATAGAGCTACTACCTTGCTGTTATGCTGCACATAGTAGCACCACTATGTGTGTAGTGCCAACAACTAAGGTAGGTTGTCACAGCGATAACTGTCACCTAGGTTGCTGCACATAAGCAATCATCATTGCATGAAACAATGCTACCATTTGTGTCGCTATTGCTCATGACTGGTCCAACAACCATCGAAGATTGCCACCCTCAATAGTGCTCTAGCCGACATTAAGCTACCGATTGGCAACCCATCGAAGAAATAAGGGTAACATACAGTCATGGTTTCACTGTGTTACATCGTCTGTAAATAGGCAAGAAGTATAGAGGAATAGATTTAGAAATCAGACATAATACATCACATATTAATTCAATAATAATATTAATTAGAGATTAAAATAATGATTTAAAAGATGAATAGATTTAATCACATAAATAGATCTAAAATTCCTTTATGATCTAGTTTATTTTAATTTTAAAACATGTGGCTCTAATACTAATTGTAAGTATAAAATTATAATCATACTTCTATTATACAAAAAAAATTTATTGATAAGAACTAAGGTTAAACAACTATATCTCGAAGTTTAGATATGTATATCATTCGATGTTATTCAGAAAATCTTTATATGATTTGCAACCACATTATCGTCCAAATTACAAAAAAAACTAGACTTACAATTTTTTTTATTCCTATTTCTAATATAAGTAATAGAATAAAGACTAAGAGAAGATGAGAGAAGATTTATAATTTTTCTTTATATTTTATCACATTATACTTAGGAGGTCTTATCTATTTATAAACGATAATAAAATTTTACGATAAATAATTATGAGAATACTCTCATCACGATTAACTCCTAGGGAGTCTTAACTCATAATTAATTTTTTTTCTTCAATTGATAGAAAATAATAATTAAAATTAATTAAATTTATAATATATCTTATCAAATTAAATAAGACTAAATAATCTGACAGTATTATATCTTTGTTCTAACGCACTATTAAGCCACACGAATACACTGATTGACCGACC